ATATATATATATATATATATATATATATATATATATATATATATATATATATATATATATATATATAGCTGAGAAAAGACACAACAGATTAAGAATCTTATTGTGTGGGAGGCTTTTCTTTCTGTATTATTTACATTCCAATCTGTGGAAGATACAAAGATACACTCTCTCTGTATCACTCTCTTTACTTCTTTCTTTCTCTCTTTAACGCAATCACTCTGACACGAACCAGCAGAAACGGGGTCATAGGGCAGTATTGTTAGACTACTTCCTGTTGTCACACTTCCTTCCTGTTAAGTAACTTTAAGCTGTGTAAATGCCTGCACAAACATGCTGCGAAAAGGTCCCAATTCTCCCTGCAGACAAGCAAGAACAACTGAGTCAACCTTAGAGACGGCTCAAAACCAAAACTAAACAAAAACAGATAACAGCGTCAGAAAATCCATGACCTGATCAGGTTCATTTCACTGTGGAACTCAGTGGTTCAACTTAGATAGACGTTTTTCTCGAGAAATTTTCAACTTCCCCTTTTCTGTTGAAATACGTGGATTGTTGTTCTTATAACTCCATCCAACTAGCATATCTTTAAATAGTTTCATATTTATGAGGAGTTTTTTATTTATATATAAAAACTGAAACATAGAAGTTAATAAATAAAACATCCTTTCAGAATAAGATAAGCCCAACTGTAGAATATTTCACATTATTGAATTCAGATTTTCAGAGATTCCCACTCAGTCCCAAACATATTGTTCTTAAATAAATTCATCCTAACTTTATACAATGGTCACAGTGTAAATACGAAGATGGAGACAGGGCACAAAGACTCGAAATAGATGAATTTTCCATGCTTTTATTTTTTTTCATAGCTATGCAAAGATGGAACAAATCTAAATCAAACCCCAGATATTTCAGTGAAGGAATCATGGAATCAGGTTATTGACAACCTCTGTTGATAAAGGCGAAGCTGCAAGAATTTATCTGCTAGTCCAGACCTTTTACCCCATGCTGGGTTTTGTCTTTGCACACACAGTCCAATGCAGCTGGCTGGGTTGTGACACAAGAGCGTGGGAAACCAATCAGGCACGGCAAATAAAAGCACATCATGACATGAGAGGCTGGAATGGAGGAACACGCACATTTAAATAATTGACTCCATATGGAGGCTCTGCGATTTCAATAGCCTCATCAGTTTTAGCATCTACCATCAGTCCAGCAGGTCCGGCAGTTTGAACTCATCCTTAGTTTATCCTCTAGGCTTCATATTGAGCTCCATTTGGATCAGGATTCAAACAAAATGTTACCCAAAAGGTTTAAAAAGGTTACCAATCTTGACCTCAAAATCCAAAATGGCTGCTATATTCAAACCAATGTTAGGGCAGCAGTAGTAAACCGACCTTTAAAACAAATTAAATCAAATACAATAAGATCACTTCAATGTTACAGGGACCACAAATATTTAAATTATTGAGGAATGCATTTTTGATATTTTGTAATGCTTATCCTACTTGCAAAAATGAGCAAATATCATTTGACTGGAACTCAGTTACACTGTTGAGCTGTGACATCATTGATCGTCCTCAGTAGAAATTATTGGAATAAAACATTTAGGATTTGTTACTTTTGCAATGACGCCATTGTCTTTTCTTTTCATTTTTATATATCTGTATACCATCTGGGAATTAGAGCTATGCAATCGCCCTTTAGTAGTTAAATAACTTTTAGCCAAATTAACCAGAAACATGGTTGAGTTACTGTCTTCTGGAACCGCTTCTTGCAATCTTCATGCAGAGGTAAGTACATCTTCAGCGGCGCAGACAGAGTGTCTGCGTAGTCCCATATGACGTTAGCTAATGCCCCTTCTTATGACATCAACATATGGCAACTCCACTCGGACAAACTGTATTGCACCGGTTTCTTAAGGATCAAATCTCTTTTGGAGTCTCAACATATAAATACCTATATTTGCTATTGTTTTACATTTCATTGGCGATCTAAAGTAGCCGGAAGTAGAAAACAATCATCGTCAGTCTTGAGGGAAAGTACTGCCTTCTAAGACTGAGCGCTGCCATTTAAAAAGGTGACAAAAAAAGTCTCATATTATTTTTATGCTTTTATTAAGATCTGAAGGCAGCGGAGGACAAATGGAACATCTTAAAAAATGACTTTGATAGAGATTTTAGACAAAGAAAACAAGTTATTCTACTTTTAGAAAACTAACGGTTGTTGATGACACAAAGTTAAGTAGTGTAGCTTAGTATGGCTAACTAACTGAGCTAAAAGAAGCTAACCTGTTAGCTACTGAGCACAGCTAGCCACAGTGCTACCCAGCTCTCCCCCTTTATATCATGGTCTAACAGTTACTCTGTCCACCATAAAATGATTTTTTTCAGTTTTGTTATCGATCAGGTAAAACTTCATCAGTCATTAGACCCACTAAAGGCCAATTAATGCTTCTGACGCATAGCCTCTGCAACCATCAAATCTGTCTCTGTGCGTCTCAAAAAAATCCTGACTAGGCGTCAGATGGTCGCAAACCCGCCCAGACCTCAAGCGGAAGTGCGCAGACAAAAAACAGCTGTGATTGGTCCTTGGTATGTCTTTCTGGCTGTCTGTGTGGTCGTTCTTTTCGATTCGGTGCCGGGACACGCCATTTTTAAAAACAACTACAATGGATAACTATGACGAAAGGTTAATCGAGAAGGTCGAAGTTCTCGCGAGTTCTCAAATAGGCTCCCCCTTGCGCCTTGGCGGGAAACTGCTGTGCGTCCCTAGAAATTCCAGCAAAACTGGTTCGGGACCTGACCCAAGCGACATTTGATGTGTGTGGTTGGAGAGCTCTAATCTGCCCTTAACACTACAGATGCACCCGACTCAGCACACGGACGCTGCGTGATGAAATTATCGTTGTCTGGGCAACCACAATGTTTTACATCATGTGGCAACGTTTAGCCAATCATGTGGTGTAAAGTCACCTCCAGTGCAGGATCCGAGCAGATCTGGTACCTACGCCGTCACATCTCCAAATTGTATAGCTGTGGCACGATAAGCAACAGATCCAG